CAGACGTGAAATCTCCGCACTCGGTATAACACGCACCAATTACACGCACGGGAATACACTAGATGGGGGTCAAGGGTTAAAGGGCACTGACGTCACCCGGACCAGGCATGCGAGACGAGGATGTGTATTGAGAATGAAGGTGGAGATGGAGGGTTTAAAAGCGGCTGTGAGACGCGTGTTCGAGGTTTGTTTTGGAATGAGTGTGGCTGTGGGTTAAAGAATAAAGAAGTGGTTAACCAGTCTCTGATTGCTCTTCATCTGGTGGCAGCGGTGGGATGTCTCGCCTCAACCGATGTAAGATTCCAAGGGGGGAGACACAGCCAGAAGACGCTCTAGGTGCCCGGGACGAGATTTTCTCCGAAACGGAACCGACGAGTCGGGATTCGTCCCCCGGCTCATCGACGAGATCCGTGGCAGCTGCTCGTCCGAGTGGGCACCTTCATCCACCAACCCAGTGCCGCCACCGCCGCAGATCATCCTCTAGGGATCGGAGGATGGATCAGCTGCTGGAGGTAGTCACCGCGCTGCTTAGCTGGCTGGGTCCTGAGGTCGAATGAACGGCGGGGAACTTCAGCCGCACCGCCTCCCCAGCGAGGGTTGTTGTATGTGTTGGAATTATGAAATTTTGATAAAAATAATAAAAAATAATAATTTTCCGAAAAATGCGCAAATCGCATTAATTATGTTAATGTGTGTATTACTATGCATAAATTATGACAATGCGTGTAATTATATGCATAAATTATGATAATCACGGAGATAATTGTAGTGATTTATGCGGAGGCTTGCGATTATGTTAATGTGTGCAGTTATGATAATTTGCTTAGTTTCGTTTATCCAGAGTTATCAATCAGGATAACACGATTATCATAGATTCATTTACCGATTATCCTAGTGTGTGTTATAATATTTTAGGTCTCCATTTTCATATCTCATCGCAGGTAACAGCTCTTATGAATAAGACAGTTTTGCATGGACTTGGAAGGAACACTCAATATGCTTCTGTGATAACAATTTTATTCTAACAAGCATGTGACATTCTATCATGCAGGTCAAACATGCGTCAATAATTCATGAATAACCAAACACTTATGCATTTGCGATATCATGCATTCGATTAATATGAATAACTAAAATTCTTATGCAATTACGAGACTATGCATTTGACTAAAATGAATGAATAAACACTTATGCATTTGCGAGACTATGACTAAAAACCCTCCTAACAACCAGGCATCTCATTAGTTCGTTTTTTTTTATCGATCACAATCGGCGACTGGCCGAGTTTGAAACAAGCATGACACACTTCATTTTGCGGAAATAAAAAGCACTTATTGTATCCTAGAGGTGAAAGTGTAGGTATATACTGGTGGGTGAGGGCGTGTTGCGGGAGAGCTAATCTGGCTCTGTTTTAATTAATTCTTCGGCGAGCCTCTATGACAGAAGAAACCGGTTTGACAAGATTTTCTCTGTTTCCTTGAGTCTGTATGTGGGGAGCGATACGACCTCTCTGCTGTCTGTGCGAGCGGCAGCTGAGACTTTCTCCGCTGTGAGGTGAGCGGCGGCGCTCGTTCAGAAGACTTTGACTCTTTTCTTCCACGGCGGGATGACGAGTCGGTTTTGGTTGATGCTGGTCGATCTGGGTGTCGCTCGGTGGCGCACAGTGGCGCAAGGTGGCGCACGGTGGCGCAAGGTGGCGCACGGTGGCGCACGGTGGCGCACGGTGGCGCTCGTTCAGCGATCTCCGCCTTTCCTGCGGGTTGTTCGCTGGTCGTCACTCTGACGAGGAGCGATGCTTCGTTCGTGGCAGGGTGGACGTTGGCGTCTTTGTTGGCTTCACTCGCAGCTCTGCGACTCAGGGTAGCGATTCTTCTCAGGTGGTGCAGACCTCGGCTTGTAGCTGCGCGTCGCTACTCCGCGAACTTCGTCATTCTGGATGACGAAAACGTCTTCGTTGTTGGCGACGAGGAGAGATGGTTGTCGCCCTGGAGATCTCTGGTGGGCCTTAGCCCGGAGACGAGATAGGGCTCAGAGCCCTGGCGATCTGCTGGTGGGGCCCGTGGCCCCGACGAGATGGGGCTCGTGGCCCGGACGATCTGCTTTGAATGGATTTTCCTTCGGTTTATATCTGGAAATTCCACTCAGTTTCCCGAGTTGTTCAAAGGCTGTCATAAAACCCTCCTGTGGGCTGAACCATCTGTGTTCGTTGTGTGTGTGTCCGTCCGTGTGTTTGTTAGCTTTGAAGACACAGCTGTGTCGTTCTGGAAGAAAGGGGTGGGGGCCTCGTGACGGTGCCACCGAAGTTATCCATTAGCCAGACCGATGATTCGCGTCGAGTTATATATAAAAAAAAACATTCGAATCCATGTTTTGTTATTGAATAATATTTGTCGCGAAAACCTACGCGTTAAGCGAGCTTAATTATTCCCTCCCTTGCTCGGGGATCATATCTTTTGTCTCACACAGCTTAAGTTGGTTTGGTTTGGAAGTTGAAATGCGACTTATTTGCTGCTTGGTTGTTATGCCCAAGTTAATGCCGAAACCGTGTTCACGATGTTTCATCGTGACCCGATCTCTCATGGAAATGTTATTTCCTCGCGTGTGCAATTTTTTGCTGTCCGTGTTGTGGGGAGACAAAGACGGTTGTCTCCACGGTGGGAGCACCCGGCGCATGCGCTTATTTATTTATTTCTGAAGACGTGTTAATTTCCTTTGAGCCATTGCCCGGGAGTTTTATTGGCTTTGTTGTGTGAGTGTAGAGATCCTCTCGGGAAGACAAAGGCGGCCGTGTTGCTCGCTTCCCATGGGTGTTGTGTTTGGTTAATTTTGAGAGCCTCCTCCGCCCTTGATTTCTCTTCTACTTTGATTCCGTACTTATTATTTGACTTCTTGTGATTATTTAATCTGATATCCCGGCTAGGAATTTTGTTTTGGAGCGAAATAGATGCCATAATTATTCTTTGATGCTTCGGCCCGGCCGTGTAGATATTCTTTAAAGGTAAATAATGTCAGTATTTAATTAACAATGATGGGTCGCGATTCAGGTGCAGACTGTAGGCTGGTTTTCAATTGGAGTGAGGATGGATACTGTTTGCTTAATCTTCATGGTTAAGTTGGTAACTTGTGTATTTAACATGGTTCAAAGACCCGTCTGTGCTTTCTGTCGTCAATGCTGTTTCTTTGTTAAGAATATAATTATCTCTTCCTCCGTGGTGCCTGGTTCTGTGGGGTTTTTTTTTAACAAAAGGATGTCCTGCTGACCCCCCCCCCCCCCCCCGCCTGCAATTCCCCCCTCCCTTGTTCCTCTTGTGTGAACTTAGGGGAGTTTTTATGATCTTGATTACCCTCTTTCATGCCCTCTTTCCTTTGAAATGAGGTGTGCGCACATCTGTGGTAGTGTGGGGGCCTCTGTGGAAGTGTGGGGGCGTGTTCGTTCCCACGTTGCCGCGTCTATTAAAAAAAACGATATTATCTATGTTGGCAGAATAATTCTTAAAAAAAAAATATTAAAGAAAAATAAAAAGGGGGTACATACACAACAGGGTACGGGGGCCACGGTCAGCCTTCCCGACCAGGCACTCCACAGCATGTATCAGGGGATGGAGCAGCATCAGCGATGCCGCCGACCATACATCCTGCGCGGGACCTGGGAGAAAACTCTGGTCTGCCCTCCCGATATTCTCCGACAGCAGTGGCAACTGGGGGAAATGAACGACTGGAGCACAGCGGAGAGCATCTGACCGGGCAAGGGGCAAGGATACAGGTCGTGAGCGAGATTTGGCCCGAAGCTCAGCCGAGGCAACCCGCGGAGGGAGGACCAGATCATCCGCTTTCGTCTGCCGGTTCGAGACGGCCGTCTGGGCAATGAGGTGGACAGAGGATCAAGCCCTGACAATGCTTCCCACTGTGTTGGATGACCCCGCACTGGCAGTGTTCGACCGGATTCTGCCTGCAAAAAAAAACCATTTGAAACTGAAGATTAGCCATGTGTTCTCGGCTGTCCGCTTAGTCCTCAGTCTCGCAGTGATCCACTCTGAACTCATTATTGTGCATTTTTACTGTATGCATACTATACTTACAGTCGACTCGTTTATACATTTTGGTATAAACGAGTCAACTGCGAGGTCCATAAAAAAGAATGCAAATGCAATCAGAGAAAGTGTTGCAGCTTGCAGCTTGTGCTCCCTAAAGTGCTCAAATGTTAACTGTGCAGTGTTCAAACACCTGCCTCTCGGGGAGTCATCCTCCTGAATTCCTCACCATTACCCCCACCTCCATCGTCATGAAATCATCATCATAATCATAAAAGGTCATTTAAAAACGCATTGTTGTATATAATGTATTATTTATTGTAGTCAATGTTATTACACGTTTACCATTTCCCCCCTATTTTCCATTTGAAACAAAGTTTCTGCATTAGTGAATTCTGCATTCTCAAGAGTTTTCAATGCATATGTAAATTCTGAATTCGAGCGTTTTCAAAAATGTGACCCTCGCGGATTGAGAGGAGGGTTTACCGTATTTACTCTCATATATTCAAAGCGCTAAATTCACTGTATTATAGAGAAGGAAAGTCTTGGACGAAGGGATTTTTCTAAATCGGGTGTTTTCTCTCTGCACATGTCAGAGTAAAGAAGGCGCTATATTTCACAGGGACAGTCTGCAGTAGTTTTACAGTAGGGAGCGGTGTTTTTTGTGTAATCTCGTTTGCGTAATTTGCAGGTCATTTTTTTTAATTTGCTAAATTTGGATCATGATGCTGGGACACAATGGCCTCTTATTAAATGATAACGCAGGATCTTAAATATCCACTGTGAAGGATACTGTGCGTATTTTACAGTTTAATATGCATACAGTAATAACCAGGGCAGCCTATCGGGTTCAAACCCTGAACCTTTGCCCCAAGCGGCCAATGTGTTATCGCTGAGCCATTTCATCAATAATGAATGGAACATTTATCATATAGACTGTTGTATGTACTTGTGTGTGTGTGTGTGCAGCCAAAGCCACAGAATGCAGTCACCATTGCGGTGTCATCACGTGCCCTTTTTGACATGCGCGAGGAGCGGCGCGTGTACGGGGAGCAAGGCGTGGAGGCGTACTTGGCACTGCAGATAGAGAAAGAGGAGGAGCCTTTTAAGCAAGGTCCCGCTTTCCCATTTGTGCAGGTAAACAACCAGTGGTGTGCTGAGTTTCTATGCGCATGTTGGTAGATGGCACATTTTCACCTGGGTCAGTGCTTAGCCTTGGCATTGATCCACCGTGCAACTTGTAGTTGTCTCAGAACAGGAAAGAATTAATACTATTAACAGTCAATAGAGATATACAGATATTTTCTTCCTGTCATTGATATAATTAACCTATTTTAAAAATCTGCTTAAAAAAAACTATGTCAAGAGAATGGTATGGGTCTGACACAAGGCTCAAAAGTTTGGATATGTCGAGTTATTGTCCCAGCATGGGAGCCATCATGCTTTTGTGCTTTTTAATGACATCGCAAATTACATCATAATATGTTTCCTGTGACATAATTTCCTGTTATCTGGAATTTATAATGTTAATTCTTAAGATGATTCCAGAACCCTGGTCCATGAGAAATACCACTGGGCAAGAATTTTTTACGTAAATATCTTGCTGTGAAAGTACGTCTTCCCAGGATCCAGCTGCAATCAACTGACTATAATTGAAGTTCTATTTGGAATTCATACAAATGGTAATCTAGACACCAGTATAATTTGCCCACATACATTCTAACGTAATATTGAATTATAGATGTGAACTGTAGATCTACGGTTGATACACAATACCTCCTGACTATATAGCTTTTAGAGTATCACTTGTATTTTGTGGGTCTTTCGGTAAAGTCGCATAGATAGAAAAAATAATAACAATAAAATAATAAATAATCAAGTGAATAAAAATAATAAAAATATCACGACGTTTCGATCGCTACAAGCAATCGTCAGGAGAAAAAAAGAAGGGGAAAGCTGCTGAGGCTGGCTGTTTTAAAGGTTTGAAATGGGTGTAGCCCAGATGTCATAAACAAAGTGGGCTGGCGAGTGATGTTAAAGTGAGAAATTTGCATGTAAATGTAAGATCGGAGAGCTACCTCCATGAGGAGGGCGCGGAGGTGGCCATTGTATTGTGAGAGATTAGCATATCAATGTAAGATCGCAGAGCTACCGCCACATGGAGGAACATGAGCAACGGCGGCTATGTTAGTGTGAGACATTTAACCTGTTAATGTAAAATCAGAGATTAGCATGTCATTGTAAGATCGCAGAGCCACTGCCACATCGAGGACATGAGCGACGGTGGCTGTGTTAGTGCGAGACATTTAACCTGTTAATGTAAAATCAGAGAGTCGAAAATAACTGCTAACATCAGAAGGTAAGATGGAAACATCACAGCCAGTTATGACTTAAACTGGTTAATAACGTCCTTCCAATGATTGCTTAGTTTGTACCCATCTTCTTCTTGGTTCTTTCGGTAAAGTCACGTAGAAGGGAAGTAATAAAATAATAAAAATAAAACATAATAAAATAATTCTCACGACGTTTCGGCCACAACGCAAGCAGCCGTCCTCAGGTGGAGAACAGGTCCGTCAAGTAGACAGTCTGAATGGCACGCTCCAGGCTTGGAGCGACTATTTATGCTGGGATGGAGGAGCGAAGAGCATCTTGACAAAATAATTTGCATATCAAGAGGAATTTAGCATATTTATGGGAAATGCAGATATGCGATTAGCACTACTTGTGAAATGCGTAGGAGGTTTGGCGAGGGGTTTAAAGTCATTATGCCCATGCATTATGCAGGATTAGCAGAATCAAAGGGAGGGAGTAAGGTCAGAATTAATAAAGGGAAGGAATGTTAATAATACAGTGATACCTCGGTTCACGAACGCTTCGGTTCACGAACAACTCGGTTCACGACCAGAAAATTTCATAAAAATATGCTTCGGTTCACGAACTCCGCTTCGGTTCACGAACAGGAGCCACGCCCATTTTTATGCTAATTCCAGGCTGTCACATGGTCGTGATTTATTGTAACGGGAGCGAGCAATGCAAAATCAGCCGAGGGAGTACCCGCCTCCTCCTCCTCGGGGGCTCGTGACACGTAGTGCGCCCGCCTCTTCTGGCCTTCACGCGCAGGCTACACGCGCACGCGCACGCACGCGCGCGGACGCACGCACGCACGCGCACCCCGGAATGAGCGGAGAGGCACACATGCGCCAGCTGTGACAGTCATCCCTCTTCACCTAAAAATAAAAATACCCCGAGCGATGGATTTTTTTCCACGTATTTTCGTCAGCGTTGACCACAGCCCCCTGAAACGATCTCTCCTTGAAAAATCCATTATGCAAAAATGGAATGAGTGCCATGACTTTTTTGAAAAGCACCACCCCAACATAGCTGTCACGAACAGAGTGTTAAATCTCATGAATGATAATGTGGTCTCTCAAAAAAAAGGTCAGAACGGATTAACCGGATTTACTTTGAACCCTATGGGAAAATGTGCCTCGGTTCACGACCAATTCGGTTCACGACCAGAGTCATTTCACGAATTAAGTTCGTGAACCGAGGTATCACTGTATGGTGTCGCAGCAACTAATATGCTTATTGACTATACCTTGTCATGTTACACTATGTTTTATTCTACCCACTCAACTGTATAGCACACTGCTATATATTCACTATAAAATAACGATACTATATATTGCCTTATACATTGTATTAAACATTACACTTTAATACTATTTATTATTATATAATATGTTATACACTATACCATAAACCATCGCGTGAAGGTACTAAGAGTAAGCAACGAAATATGTCAATGGGAGAATGGTGGTAGGAAGCTTGCAGCGGAGCAAAGAATCCATTCCCTGCGGAGTGCATATCAAGAGGAATTTAGCATATTTATGGAAAATGCAGATATGCGATTAGGAGGATTGGCGAGGGGTTTAAAGTCATTATGCCCATGCATTATGCAAGATTAGCAGTATCAAAGGGAGGGAGTAAGGTTAGAATTAATAAAGGGAAAGAATCTTCTTGGTTCTTTCGGTAAAGTCACGTAGAAGGGAAGTAATAAAATAATAAAAATAAAACCTAATAAAACAATTCTCACGACGTTTCGGCCACAACGCAAGCAGCCGTCCTCAGGTGAAAACCAGGTCCGTCGAGGCGACAGAGTCAGACCGAAAGAACCAAGAAGATGAATCCCTGCAGTCACGAAAGCTTTAAATCGAAAGGGAAAGAATGTTAATAATATGGCGCCGCAGCAACTAATATGTTTTTAGACTATACATTGTAATATTACACTATGTATTATTCTACCCACCCAACTGTATACCACACTGCTGTATATTCACCATACAATTACGATACTATATATTACCTTATACATTGTATTAAACATTACACTTTAATACTATTTATTATTATACAATATGCTATACACTATACCACTGACCGTCACGTGAAAGGCACCAAGAGGAAGCAACGAAATATGTCAATGGGAGAGTGGTGAAAGGAAGCCCGCAGCGGAGCAAAGAACCCACTCCCCGCGGAGAATACAGGATATATAGTCAATGTCAGTGAGTGGAACGCGGTCCGAAAGTCACCGTAAACGTGGACACAATCAGTTAAGATCCGAAATGGTTTATTACGTCCTTCCAATGATTGCTAAGCCAGAATCCATCTTCTCGGTTGAAATTGTCTCTGTGTTTGTATATGTGGATCGCCTCATGAACGAATCTCTCATGGTAGCCAGATGGCTTGCAGAGAACCTCTGTCTTGGAGAAGTTAATATCATGTGAACCCACTGAATTGTAACAGTGATCTGCCACGGCTGAGGTGTTTGTCCTACCGTGTTTCAAGTCTGCTTTATGTTTACGGATGCGGTCCGAGACATGTCGTTTGGTTTCTCCAATGTAACCGCTACCACAGAGGCAACTTAGTTTGTAGACGGCAGGGTACTGTAAGTCTGGAACCACATCTTTTACAGACGGGACCAGATCACGGATTTTATGTACTGATTAAACACAAGATCCAGGTCCGATTCAACACAGTACATAAAATCAATCTACAAACAAGTTGAAGTTACCCTAATGGATTCTCCCTTATCTCCAGTTGTAGCCAATGTTTTCATGGAAAAACATGTTTTGAGACAGATGCCATCCAGGCATCCACTCTATGTCCATCCTTGTGGAAGAGGTACGTAGATGACACGTTCGTCATCTGGCCACATGGCTTACCAGCTCTGAACCAATTCCTCAACCACATAAATTCCATACACCAAGCCATCAAATTCACCATGGAAGTGGAAAAGGATGGCAAGTTACCATTCTTGGATGTTTTAATCGAAAAGAGACCAGATGGCTCAATGGGACACTGTCTACAGGAAAGCCACCGATACGGATGCCTACCTAAAACCTGACTCCCACCACCATCCATCCCAGAAGAATTCCCTCATCAAAACGCTACACTATAGCGCTCGATGTATTTCCGACCATCACCACCTAGCCAATGAACTGGAACACGTACACCAAGCCCTCAAGATGAATGGATATTCAGACTACACAATCCGTAAAACTATCATGCAACCGTTGGGAAAGAACCATCTGAGGACCCAATCAAAACCATCACCTTGCCATACATAGCAGGGGTTACCAATTTTGTTTCCAAAATCATGAGCAAACACAAGATCCAGGTTCGATTTAACATAATACATAAAATTAGTGATCTTATCCCATTTGTGAAGGATGTAATCCTTGAATGCAATAATCCGGCATCGACAAACTAAGCTGTGTCTGCAGCAGTAGTTACATTAGGGAAACTAAGCGACATGTATCGGACCGTGTTCGTGAACATAAGGAAGATCTGAAACAGGGTAGGACCAATACCTCAGTCATGGCTGATCATTGTTGTAATGCGGTGGGCTCACACGAAATTGATTTCTCCAAGAAGAAGGTACTATGCAAACCCACTGGCTATCAACAAAGACTCGTTCATGAAGCCATCTAGATATATAAACACGGACACAATTTCTACCGAGAAGATGGGTACATTTCGATTTAAAGCTTTCATGACTGCAGGGATTCATCTTCTTGGTTCTTTCGGTAAAGTCACGTAGAAGGGAAGTAATAAAATAATAAAAATAGAACATA